TAGGCAACCACCTAGTTCGCCTTAATGGTAGCACCGGCCCTGGCTTCACATAGCCTAGGATTCCAGGCCTGCTCCTGAACTTGAGATCTTGGAACATGTGTCCATGAATCTCAAGTACGCTATTTGGTTATAATAAGAATTCATGAAAATATGCAATTATAGTCAGAACCCAGAATCAGGCAATTTTTGTGTGTCGAAACACTAAAGCTTAAACTGAGTTTAACAGAAAAAAAATTATCCTAGGCATCTCTGCAAGCAGTTTTCTCCTTTGCCCTGGAGACGGCCTATTTCCTCAGAGACATCAGTGATGGATGATTTTAGCTCCTGACTACAATAGGACATGCAAAAATGCACATATGCATTCCCAGAGCATATGTGTGTGGCTGATCAATTAAAGCCCTGCCTGGCACACTGAAAGAACCGACTCCCAACAGTAGTAGCAGCGGCAATTAATTTGGGAGGCTCCCAAGGACAGTAAAAGCCTAGCTCACCTTTCTGATATTTCTGTTGCAAAAGGCATGACTGGAGGAACTTGGTTTGATTACAGATGTGGCAGACTGATGGCTACTCCAGTGTATAAATTCAGGAGCCTGGCAATCAAGGATGGACAGCAGCAAGGAAAGTTTTGTGATTTAGTATTGTAAATACAAGTGCCAGACATTGAGTGGCAAAGTTAAGTACAAAATGTTTCTTTCAGTAAGCAAAACACAGTTATTGTGAATAAATTATTTTTAAAAATATAGGTCTTGGGGAAAATATATATCCAATAAAAAGAAATATACTTGGAGATAACTGGTTTTTTTTGTTTAAATTACTGGTTACTGAGACCATAAACATTATCGTCTCAAAGTCCAGCACACTAGAAATAGTGTGGGGCAAACTCAAGGATCTGTATCTTTCTGATCATAATTTATCAGACAGAGACAATTTAAAGAGCTTGGAGCTGACAGTTACCTAGAGCAGAGAACTATATGCATTTGCCAGTCCATTAATTCACCAGAGTTTGCAGAATCCTCTTGTGATCACGTAGGAAAAAAATTATACTTAATTAAGGAAATACCGTCTGGTTGTTAAGGCAACACCAGGTCTCCAAATCATAATGCATTTCATAAAACATGCTGTCAAGTCCATTTGTATCCAACTTGTTTAGCTGTAGAAGGCAGCAATATCTCATGTCAGATATTGCCACTTGCATGCAAGGTAATTTAGTTTACTCGCAATGTACAGTATGTGCCCTCTCACAGGCCTCACTTGGCTAGTGGCAAGACTAAAGGGAACATGTTTTTCATTTTAACATCTTTGGATGTCTGAGTTTACTCAGTTTGTAAATTATACAGAAAAACACCTTAATACGCTGTAATTCTATTAAAGGCCAAGTCTAGTTTAAAAAAAAACCTGCAGGTGAATTAATGATGAAGTTTTTACCACTGTCTTTGCCAAATAAAGTTGCTAGTGCCTGCCAGTTACTTAGGTTTGCTCTGCTGTCTCTAAGGATTAGATTTTCACAGTTTCTGCAGGGAATTTCCAACATCAGCATGGAGTAGACTGTCAAACTGTTACACTTGTCCTGTGTGTCACACATGGAAAGGGACTTACTTAGCAATTTTAAAGGCAATTTCAACATCTTTAAACCATGATTGGTAATTCAGTGAGATTTACAGATTTTTCTTCAGAGAATTGCCTGGGATCCCAATCACAACTGTTATTAAAGTACTTCAGATAAAACTGCATACTTCAACTTATCATGGAAATCAACCTCCCGTGGGCTGGCAAGGCTGATGGGTGGGACTAAAATGTTTTTTGTTTGATAACAAAATCAAACAAGGGAAAGCATTTATGTCCTTCAAATAATGAAAAAGGACAAAGGGTTAGTTGTCTGCATTTGTCAAAGGAGCAAGCATTCCTGATAGCAGTTTGACAAACAATTCTACCTCCCTGTGAGGGGTTGAAAAGGGATTTGGAGAGTTTAAAGCTTTGTAGTCATATGTGACCTTTGGTTTTCCAAATAACTCTCGCCTTGGGATTCCTTGAACCAGAATCATTCTAAATTACTAGCCGCCATCAGAAATACCACAGTATTAGACACTTACCAATGCGTAAACAATTTTCTCACATTTATCCTAACACTACTGTCTCTGTACATAGGCTGCATGTATATCTCATGTATCCTATACACAGAAGCATATATACTAGATATACAGAACCAGTCACAAATCATGAGAATTTTTTTATATCACAACACAC